CAAAGATATACTTCTCCCTTATTTTTTTCTGTCTTATACTGTGCTCACATTGATACAAAATTAAGAAATATAATATGTTTAGAAGCTTTCTGAAAACTATGATTAATTACTATTTTTCCATTTTTATTAAAAATACTTTTCTTTCATACAATATGTCTCAACAAGCTCCCCCCTCCCTCCCACTTTCCTCTCCCCTAAATCCAACCACCCTCTGTTTCCTCTTCTGGAAAAAAAACAAAACAAAAAAAAAAAAACAGGCCTCCGAGAAATAGAATCCAGGTAGGAAAACAAAAGAAACAACAAGACAAAGTAAAAGCCCTCATATCAAGACTGAACAAGACAACCCATTATGAAAAATGGTGTTATAATATACAGTTTTTACCTGTGAATTTCAGTCAATCATACAGATCTAGAATTTATACTACCTTCTTAAAAACAAAAACTTATTCTTTTAAGGGTTTATCTTCTTCTAACATTGAAAGTTGAAATGCTATCATAGGATGAACATTACTATCAACAGATATTCATGGAAATGAAATAAGCCAAAATAAACATGACTGTTCTTTATCTCTAAAATAAAATAATTAAAAATTAAAAAAAATTATATTTACTGAACATATTCTCTAACATATAAATTAAAAGCATTTATGGATCTCATTTCTTTTCCTATAACAGTTAAGAAGCAAAAATAATTCTTCTCAATTTTATTTTACTCCTTTTAACCACAGCTAATAAGCATCTCTTTAAACCCCACTCTAGTAAAAAATATATTTTCTTCTAGAATTTCGTTGGGCAGTGTATAATTTATTTTAATTTCTGAATTCTGAAAAGTCAAAAAAGGAGCTCTCAAATTAGGTCTGAAGCCATTATATTACAGTACATGATTTGGGTGTGTGTGTGTGTGTGTGTGTGTGTTTTCTTTTATTTATTCTTCTCTCATACAGTAGATCCTGACCACAGCCTATCCTCCATCCACCCATCCCAGTTTCTTCCACTTCCTCTTTTCCAGTTTCACTCCTCTTCTATTTCCATTCAGAAAAGAGCAGTCCTCCCAGGAATAGCAACCTAACTTGGCATAACAAGATACAGTAAGACTAGGCACAAACCCTCATACTAAGACTGGGCAAGGCAACCCAGTAAGAGGAAAAGGGTCCTGAGCGGAGACAAAAAGAGTAGGAAACATTTTAAGAGTAGGAAACATTTTCTGTGTAGACCTGTCTATTCTAGAACCCTTAGGGCATACTTTTTTAAAACAAAGCTTTGCTTAAATATTTTTTAAATCAGTATCAAGCAACAATAATCAATACATTGCTTGGTTTGTGCCTGATTAAATCCTTCCCTGACTCTTAGAATGAAAATAATATTTTTACTTATTGAATGCTACTTTGAAAATATTACCATTCTAGAACAATTAAAAGTAAAAATTTCTTAAAGCTAAATATTTATTTTATTTTTTTAGCATTTGTAGTTGTATCCCATAGAGGTGACATTAAAAGTATCTATGTGCTTAATAAAATCTCTGTGCTCTTTCTGAAAGGGCAAGGTAGCTTATTTTGCTTGACAAGTCATATGATTTGAGCTTATTTTTCTAAGATAATATGTTAGGCCAATTTCATTCAGTTTTTACAAAGTAAGTTTAAGAAGCTTCACATTAGATTTCAACTTCTGGAGTCTCTGCATGCATCTCACAGTTCATACCTAACCTAGCTGAGGATTTCTTCAACTAGAAATATTGTCTGAAAATTGACTGCATATTTCTTTCCTGGACTTTTTGTAGCTATATCTGTTGAAGGATATCCTGTTGGGAGTGAAAGGTAAGGGGTGTCACTATTTAACAATACCAAAGTGACATTAATATAAGACTACATAGCTATTATATACATGGAAGTGTGGATACAGCCTAAATTCTTAGTAAAGAGAGGCAGATACATCTCCTCTACATAACAGCTTCTACTGTAGTTGCAAGGAAAATTATACCAAAATGTTTTATGTACCTGATAATTGGTTGGGTGCTTAAGACAATTCATAATAGTCACTGAATTGGGTAATTCCATGGCTTAAAGAAGTAATGAATTATACTAATGTAATAAAGAGGATTTTGTGGATTCTGGGGAGCAGGAAAGGTAAAGAGGAATATTAATAAAACTTGACTTCTATACGGTTTGTTCCTGGCACTATGCTAAATTATTCATTTTAGTTTTTAGATTTAACTTATTTCAACAGGATCTGTATCTATAGGAGAAAAGTCTTTAGAACAAAAACATTGAGAGGAAGGAAAAACAAAATGGTGACTATTTTCTTCACACACTGTTAATGTATTCACTTGGACCAGAGAAGAAGGCTTTGCCATTTGTCATCATTCTATGGAGCTGAGCTATTGCAATCCTTTATATCTCTTTGCCATGTCAAACAATACACATTCACTCACTACTTAATTCTGTACAAAACTAATTTAGGTACAAACTGATTTTATTTCTATGAAATTCAACTCTATGTGCAATACAAAATATTGAAGCCTCTAGTTCTTTTCTAAATTTGTCTTCATTGAGCAGTCTTTTCTTATCATTTTCTTCATGTTTTCTGCAGCAGCCAGTAGCTAGTATTCTACTATCAACTTCCATGAGATGAATGTTTTTCGATTCACATAAGAAGAGCTGAAAATAGTTTGAATATTGTTGCCACAGTTAAATAATACATTTGCAAGATTATAAATGTGTTTTTCAACCAGATTTGATCATGAAAAAAATGCACACATAAATTTAAACAATGTAATTTACATGATTAAATATATTCAGTTTTTATTTTTTAGCACCATATAGAAATATCATTAGAAAATCATAATGCAAAGAAATAATACTACAGATAAGGAATTTCAAATGATCTTCGAACAAACACAAAGAACTATTCTCTGCTACAGAAACTAGTTATTATATAGAGCTGGACTGATTTCCAGAGTGGTTGTACAAGTTTACATTCCACCAGAAGTGGAAGAAGGTTCCCCTTTCTCCACAACCTCTCCAGCATGTGTTGCCATTCTGATGGGTGTAAGGTTAAATCTCAGAGTCGTTTTGATTTGCATGTCCCTGATGACTAAAGATGTTGAGCATTTCTTCAAGTGTTTCTCCACTATTCGATGTGTAGCCCATGTGGTCATCTCGCCAGCAAGAATGCACACGGACACCAGGATTCTTCTGCAGCAAGCGTTTATTCAGCAGTAATGAGAGGAAGACCTAGAGCCCCAAAATGGCACTCCTTTTATACCCTAAATGGTGACGTGTTGGTTCCTGATTGGATGCAGCCCATCAGGCCATCTTACGTCACTAAGTGAGCCAATCTCAGGCTCGAATTCAGCTTTAGCGCATGCGCATAGGCAGTTGTTTATGATCTCACACATTGGATGCTGGCGCCATCTTGTAATGGCGTTTGCTTCAGGCTCTTTACATCTCCCCCTTTTTATTTTATTAAGACACAACGGCCAAAGGTAGAGGTCCAATCCCCGGTGCAGATGGCTAATGTACTGGTACAGTCTCCGAACCCTACATTCATCGACTGTCCTGACCTAGCCTGTGTCCTTTTTCCCGAGGGAGGGTAAAACTTAGACACAACCCTCATGCAATTAGACATGCCTTTCAGAGAGCCTATCAAGGCGATTTAGGATTCTCTGTGCAATGCTTAGCTTGACAGACCAAGTGAAAGGTAGGCAACTCAAGCAGGTGCGACACCCTTCCCGTGCAATGGAGTTCAACGTCTCCTGGGAGTGCAAGGGCTGTTCACAGCCTCACTTGCGAAGTAAAGAAAGCCAAACTTCAGGGGAGGAGCCTTGCTCTATTGCAACAAGCGCTTGAGTAATAATGGCCTTATCATGGGCATATTGGCTTCTGAGCCTACAAAGCAACCAAAGAACCAAGACCAATCCACCACAGAGCATAGTGCCAAATAAACCAACCCCCACCCATTCTTTGAAGAAAGAAAAGGCTGAAAAAATCCACGAGGAGAGTCCCTTCGTCATTGACAGGTCCACTCGTGTTGAATTAATCATCACAATTGCTGCTCTTAATACCTCCAGCGTCTCATCAAATCCTTCTGACCAATTTCCTACAAGGTATAAAGACAATTCTCTGGACAGATTAGCAGTAAAGTTTTCATATTGTATCTCAGAGGATGAAGGCCACTGAGGAACCCATACGGCTTCCCCTGCAAGCCATGGTATGGGTATGGAGCCCTCAGTGGCAGCTAGGAAAAACCCAAACCTTGTCTCCCCTTATTGCCTTCTTGGGGAACAGGGCTCAACCTTCTCTGCTCCCTCTTTCCTAACCCTTTTCCTTCTTTATATCCCATCTTTTTCATCATGTCTCTGGATTGGTGAGAATATTCATTAGTTAAAGTAAGGCCTAGGTCTTGTAAAACATCTCTTCCCCAGAGATTAACAGGAAGAGGAAGTACATAAGGCACAAAACTTCCTGTTCGACCCTCTGGATCCCGCCAAATCAAAGAGCGGGAACTAACTGTGGGGCTGGCTTCATATCCCAGCCCTTGTAAAGAATGAGATGACTGCGTAACAGGCCACGCCTTAGGCCACCAGTTGGAGGAAACAATACTTTTATCTGCTCCTGTATCTAAGATTCCAGTAAAATTTTTTTCGTCTATTGTTAATTGTAAGGTGGGCCTAGTTTTGAGATCAACTACTAAGTGGGCAAAATCAGTTCCAGAAGAGCCAAGCCCACTGGAGCCCCTAGACACCTCAGCAGATGGAAAATGATCATGTAAACTTGGAAGTAGAATCAACTGAGCAATCCTATCCCCAGGCGAGATAGAAAATATACCCTGTGGACAGGAGCAGAGAACTTGAAGCTCCCCAGTAAAGTCTTGGTCTAATATACCAGGGTGGATCATAAGTCCCTTCAATGTAAGTGAAGAGCGACCCAAAATAAGGCCAACAGTTCCTTTAGGCAAAGGGCCAGAAAATTGTACTGGAACTGGTTGAACTCCCATTTCGGAGACTAATAAGAATTGGGAGGTGGCACGGAGGGCCACTCCTGCTGAGCCTCTTGTGACTCGGCTGCCGCATAAGTCCCCCTGGGGTTGATCTGTGTCCCATATCTTTTTGGGCCCTGAGACCTGGGGCCCAGAGGCCCATTTTTTGGAATAGTTTCATTTTTCTCCTCAGCTGGGGCATCATGGTAAATAATTTTTCCTTGAATATCCTTAACTGACCTACACTCATTGGACCAATGGCGTCCTTTTTTACACTTTGGACAGAGACCAGGGATCTTTTTCTGCTGTTTAGTCTGACATTCTCGTTTGAGATGTCCAGGCTTTCCACAGTTGAAACAAACCCTAGAATTCTTTGATTGACCTTGGCTTCTGCTTTGTAAAATAGCTGCCGCTAAACCAGCATTTGTAAGAGGTCCTCCCAGTCCTCGGCAGATTTTTATCCAGTCTGTTAATCCCTTATTTTTCCTTGGGAGGATAGCTGCTTTACATTCGGGGGAAGCATTTTCATAGATTAATTGTTTTATCATTGGCTGCTGATTCCGTCATTCAGGCCACAAAATCAGCAAAAGGCTCCTGAGGACCTTGAATTATTTTTGTTAAATGACCTGTGGGTTCCCCCGTTTTTGAAAGTGCTTTCCAAGCTCTAATAGCAGTGGTTGAAACCTGCCCATAAGCTCCCCATTCATAGTTGGTCTGATTGTTGGCATATTGACCTTGTCCTGTTAAGAGGTCAAAGGTCCATTCTCTCTGGGGACCCACTTCCAAGGCATTAGTTCGAGCTTGAGCTCGACAGGCGTCATACCATAGTGCCTGCCATTCCATATACTGACCCATGTTAGGTAAGGCAGCTTTAATAGTGGTCTCCCAATCATTAGGAGTCATAGCCACGGTGGCAAGTCTCTCTAGCTGCATAATGGTAAAATTAGCATCTATACCATATTTATTGACAGATTCTGCGAGCTCTTTGATCTGAGGGTAATTCAACATTTTCCCATACAGGGTACTCGAGAGAAATTTGCCTTAGAGCCTGGGAGGACATAAATGTCTTAGAGCCTCCACCCGGGGAATAAGGCAGGGGAGCAGAGGGAGTGGCAGCAGCGGGCCGAGAAGAGACAGCACCCCGACTTCCTGCTTTTATTTGCTTTCGATTTTTCCAGGGCGGCCGCTCGTCTGGGTGGTACCTCTCTCTCTCATAGCGAGCTGCTTCCTCTTCTAGATCCTCCTCCTCAGAAGGGGAAAGTCCCTCTGAATCGGAACTGGAAAGTCCCAAAGCCTCTAGTTCCTTTAGTGAATACAAAGGCTTCTTTTTACTAGTTTTAGCTGAAAATTCCTCTTTATCATCTTTCTCTCCCAGGGCGTCCTTTCCCTTATCTTTCTCCTCCTTGGAGGGGTTTAACTGCTTATCCTTACGTCTTTTCTTTCGGGCCCCAAGACGTTCACTTCGCTCTGTTTCTGATATGCTATCCTGTAGTTCCCCCAAAACGGCTTCTCCCTCTAATATAGCGTGGCGGCAATTTGAATCTTGCAAGCAAGAGCAATATCCGCCCACACAAAACAAAAGAAAAGCCAAGAGAACCACTCCTATAGCCAGGAGGGGCTCAAGGGACATGTCTCTCAGAGCTTACCTGAGACTGCAGTTCTGAATCCTCCCGCGGTGGGAGGGTCTCCTCAGCGCTGAGGATAGTCAGTAGCCCGGCGTCCCGGGTTTTGGCACCATTGTAGCCCGTGTGGTCGTCTCGCCAGCAAGAACGCACACGGACACCAGGATTCTTCTGCAGCAAGCGTTTATTCAGCAGTAATGAGAGGAAGACCTAGAGCCCCAAAATGGCACTCCTTTTATACCCTAAATGGTGACGTGTTGGTTCCTGATTGGATGCAGCCCATCAGGCCATCTTACATCACTAAGTGAGCCAATCCCAGGCTCGAATTCAGCTTTAGTGCATGCGCATAGGCAGCTGTTTACGATCTCACACACTGGATGCCGGCTCCATCCTGTAATGGCGTTTGTTTCAGGCTCTTTACATCGATGTTCCTCTATTGAAAATTCTCTGTTTAGCTCTGTACCCCATTTTTTTAATTGGGTTACTTGATTTGTTGCTGTTTAACTTCTTATGTTCTTTATATATTCTGGATATTAGTCTGATATAGGGTTGGTGAAGATCCTTTCCCAATCTGTAGGCAGTCATTTTGTTCTGATGGCAGTGTCCTTTGCTTTACAGAAACTTTTCAGTTTCATGACGTCCCATTTATTGATTGTTGCTCTTAGAGCATGTGTTGTTGGTGTTCTGTTCAGGAAGTTGTCTCCTGTGCCAATGAGTTCCAGGCTCTTCCCCACATTTTCTTCCAACACGTTTAGTGTGTCCGTTTTTATATTGAGGTCTTTGGTCCACTTGGATTTTAGTTTTGTGCAGGGTGATAAGTATAGGTTTATTTGCATGTTTCTACATGTAAACATCCAGTTAGACTAGCAGAATTTGTTAAAGATGCTGCCCTTTTCCATTGTATGTTTTTGGTGTCTTTGTCAAACATCAGGTAGCCATAAATGTGTGGATTTATTTCTGGGTCTTCTATTCGATTCCATTGATAGACCATTCTGTTTCTATGCCAGTATCATGCAGTTTTTATTAATGTTGCCCCATAGTACAGCTTTAGATCAGGGATGCATATATCTCTAGAAGATCTTTTATTGTAGTGGATTATTTTAGGGATTCTGGGTTTCTTATTTATTTTATAATTATTTTTATTTTTTATATTAATTGCAGTTTATTTAATATGTATCCCAGCTGTAGCCCCCTCCCTCATTCCCTCCCAACCCCATCCTTCCTCCCTCCTCTCATCCCTGCCCCTCTCTAAGTCCACTGAGAGGAGAGGTCCTCCTCCCTTTCCATCTGACTCTAGCTTATCAGGTCTCACCAGGACTTGCTGCAATGTCCTCCTCTGTGGCTTAGCTAGGTTGTCTCTTCCATGGTGGAGGGGTCAAAGAGCTAGCCACTGAGTTCATGTCAGAGACAGTTCCTGTTCCCCTTACTACGCAGCCCACTTGGATACTGAGCTGCCATGGGCTTCATCTGAGCAGGGGTTCTAGGTTATATCTATGCATGGTATTTGGTTGAAGAAACAGTCTCAGACAAGACCCCTGTGCCTAGATATATTTGGTCCTTCTGGAGCTCCTGTCCGCTCCAGGTCTTACTAACTCCCCCTTGATTCGTATGATTCCCTGCACTCTGACCAAAGTTTGGTTATAAGTCTCAGCATCTACTTTGATACACTGCTATGTAGAGTCTTTCAGAGGACCTCTATGGTAGGCTCTTGTCCTGTTTCTTTTTTTTCTCCTACATCCAATGTCCATCCCATTTGTCTTTCTGAATGAGAATTGGATATCTTACTCTGGGTTCTTTTTCTTGTTTAGCTTCCTTAGGTGTACAGATTTTAGTATGTTTATCCTATCTTATAAGTGTAGTATCCACTTACTTTTTTAACTTTTATTTTAATTTTTTATTCATTACACTGTATTTACTTTGTATCCCCCCACCCTATAGTTCCCTCCCTTCTCTCCTCCCAATCCATCCCTTCCTTCTTCTTCTCCACTCATTCACCTCCCCAAGTCCGCTGGTAGGGCTGGTCTTCTTTTCCTTCCTTCTGAACTTAGTCTGTTAGGTCTCATCAGGACTGGCTGCATTGTCTTCCTCTGTGGCCTAGTAAGGCTGCTCCTCCCTCAGGGAGAGGTGACCAAAGAGCAGGCCAATCAGTTCATGTCAGAAACAGTCCCTGTTCCCAATACAATGGAACCCACTAGGAGACTGAACTATCATGGGCTACATCTGTGCAGGGGTTCTGGGTTATCTCTATGCATGCTACTTTGTTGGACAAGCAGTCTCAGGAAAGACCCATGTGCCCAGATATTTTGGATCTGTTGCTCTCCTTGTGGAGCTCCTGTCCCCTTCAGGTCTTAGGAACTCCCACTTCTTTTATAAGATTCCCTGCAATCTCCTCAAAGTTTGGCCATAAGTTTAGTATCCACTTATAAGTGAGTATATACCATGTGTGTCTTTCTGCTTCTGGGATACATCACTCAGGATGATCTTTTCTAGGTCCCACCATTTGCCTGCAAATTTCATGGGTTTCCTCTTAGAATATATGAAGTTGATAACTTTTCTTTCAAGATCTGTAAAGAATTGTGTTGGTAATTTGATGGGAATTGCAGTGAATCTGTAGATTGCTTTTGGTAAGATGGCCATTTTTACTCTGTTAATTCTGCTAAGCCATGAGCATGGGAGATCTTTCCATCTTCTTATATCTTCTTTTATTTCTTTCTTCAGAGTCTGAAAGTTTTTTTCATACAAGTCTTTGACTTGCTTGCCTCAAATTGCAACTATACCACTCCTAAGCATATATCCAAAAGATGCTCAAGTATATAACAAGGACATTTGCTCAACCATTTTCGTAGCAGCTTTATTTGTAATAGCCAGAAGTTGGAAACAACCCAGATGTCCCTCAGTTGAGGAATGGATACAGAAATTGTGGTACATTTATGCAATGGAATACTATTTAACAATTAAAAACAAAGAAAGCATGAAATTTGCAGGCAATTGGTGAGATCTAGAAATGATCATCCTGAGTGAGTTATCCCACAAGCAGAAAGACACACATGGTATATACTCACTTATAAGTGGGTATTAGACATATAATATAGGATAATCATACTAAAATCTGTACACCTAAGGAAGCTAATCAAGAAGGAGGACCCTGGTAAGATGCTCATTCTTCATTCCAATAGGCAAACGAGAAGAGGGAGAAAACAGGGAACACAAATGGAGCCTATCACAGAGGGCCTCTGAGAGACTCTACCCAGCAGGGTATCAAAACATATGCTAAGATTTAGAGCCAAACTTTTTGCAGAGTGCAAGAAATCTTATGAAAGAAGGAGAAGATATAAAGACCTGGAGGGAACAAGAGTTCCACAAGGAGAGCAACAGAACCAAAAAATCTGGGCATATGGGTCTTTTCTGAGACTGATACTTCAAAGAAGGACCATGCATGGAAATAACGCAAAATCCCTGCACATAAGTAGCCCATGGCAGCTCAGTGTCCAAGAGGGTTCTCCAATAATAGGAACAGGGACCTTTTCTGACATGAACTCATGGGCTGGCTCTTTGATCACCTTCATCTGAGAGGGGGAATAGACTTACCAGTCCACAGAGGAAGACAAAGAAGCCAGTCCTGATGAGACTGGATAGACTAGGGTCAGATGGAAGGGGAGGAATAACTCCTTATCATGGGACTTGTGTAGGGGCATAGGAGAAGAAGAGATAGGGGGGTGGGATTAGGAGGGGAATGTGGAGGAGTCGACAACTGGGATACAAATTGAATAAACTGTTATTAATAAAAATAAAACCAAAAAATTAAAAGAAAGCTGAGCTTATTCCTGACTCTGCTACTTTCTTTGAAATTTGAGTCATATCACTTAATGTGTGTAAGTTTCATTTTCTTGCCTGTGTTTTGTAATAATAATAATAATACATCATAACATTTTATATTTGGTACAAGAATAATAAGCAATGCAAGAGAGCTGAATTTGTTACAACCTCTTTCACAGTTAAATAAGGGCAACAAAGTTGGGTAAGTATATATGGCACATCAACAGCCAGTGGAATTGACTCAAAATTTTTCCTTGGAACAGAAATATTTAACATGGCTTGGGATTCATCTGAGACAACAGGGTTGGCGTCATAGAAAAAAAAAAAACAGATAGATTGATGCATTGAGTTGTATGATGTTTCTGAAGTCAATCTACTATTTTGAAAGGAAGCTTCCTTAGAGTTTCACAGAGAAGACTAAAAACAATCTTTATTTTAATATATGATCTAGGAATACACAAAGAATAAAAGTCAGAAATTTACTTGCACTCTCATATCTCTTTGGTGCAGTGCAGTAAAGCTGAGCATTCAGCTGACTAGTGAACCAATGACATATTTCCTTTTCTGCAT